AGAGGGGGAGGAGAACCTCCCTCGACCTGCTGGCCACGCTCCTCTTAATGCACCCCAGGATGCCATTGGCCTTCTTGGCAACAAGGGCACCCTGCTGGCTCATGGTGATCTTGTCATCCACCAGGACTCCCAGGTCCCTCTCAGCAGAGCTGCTTTCCAGCAGGTCAGCCCCCAGCCTGCACTGGTGCCTGGAGTTCAGCCTCCCCAGGTGCAGCACTCAGCACTTGCCCTTGTTGAACTTCATCAGGTTCCTCTCTGCCCAACTCTCCAGGTCTCGCTGAATGGCAGTGCAGCCTTCCAGCATATCAGCCACTCTTCCCAGTTTTGTGTCATCAGCGAACTTGCTGAGGGTACACTCTGTCCCCTCATCCAGGTCATTGATGAATAAATTGAACAAGACTGGGCTGAGCACTGAGCCCTGGGGAACTCCACTAGCTACCAGCCTCCAACTAGACTCTGTGCTGCCGATCAGAACCCTCTGAGCCCTGTCATTCAGCCAGTTCCCAATCCACCTCACTGTCCACTCATCCAACCCACACTTCTTGAGCTTCCCTATGAGGGTATTATGGGAGACAGTGTCAAAATGATGCATCCTTTTCTGTCCTATTGTTAATAGCTTGGCACTCGCTATTCCATAAAATTCTATTCATATTCTGTGGAAGATGGCAATGAAAATGCTTCTCTATTTGATACAAACTGAGACAAAAAGAAAGAAGCAATTTGCCTAGAAAGATTGATGGTAGACTTGACAGTTGTGTCCACCCACACAAGTTGTGGGCCATTAGCTAACAACTGGCCCATGATTCCTCCCTTGGCACTTATGCAGTGTGGCAGCTTGAGTAGTATCATTCTGCAACCCACTGCCAGCTAACAGCTTGAAAACCACTGTCTCATGAAGCAAAGGCTTTGTGTGTCTGTGGTCTTTCAGAAGTTCTAGTGTTAATTTACGTATATGCTGAACATAGTATCACAATTTTTACCAACTTTCTCAAATACCAGTTTGATTTTCATGGAAGTGTTTTTGTAAACTTTCAGTAATGACAAAAAAACACTTTATCTAGATGACTCTGAAAGAAAACTGTAACATACAAACCAGACAAAAATTATGTGAACCGAGTGTAATCTTTGTTTGCAAGCATCGTGATGTGTACTATTTATGCTACATTTTCCCTAATAATCAGACTTCTGCATGAGGAATGAACCTAATACAGCTCAGTATATAGCTTTGTCTTAATCTGACTCAGAACAAGTTTAAATGCTAAGTCAGACTCAGGTAGGAAGTTGTCCATGGTTTTAATTAACTCTAAATTTTCTTTGAGATATGTTGTCATTACTTTTTCTAGCCCTTCTGTGCATCTGTCACAAAATCTAGACTATATTTCGTAAAACAATAAAAAACCTAATTACTAAAGTATGATTGGAACATAAGCCATAAATCCTTGAAGTTTCATGGTGATATTTTTTACAGACTTGAATATAAGCAATAATGAGTTGATTTTGTTTTGCAGCCCCAAACTTTCACCAAACAATACCCCATGCTAACTTCAAACTATGTAACATAGTGCATATTGAGCTGTTCTATGTATTTGTGCATATCTTCATCTGGAGACTGTGACTTCAGGCTTGTTTTTACGTGGTCCATCCTCTCTAACTGCAAGAATAAATATGGTTATATCACTGTAGCATCAAGCTCAAGGGCCATAAATGTTCTTAGTGGCAGAAAAGTCGTGTGAGTCAAATATGTCAAATGTCATAAAACAAGTTATAGTATTTACTGTCAAACATAGGCTCTGTCTACATATCAATTAATGTAAAGCAATCTCAATATGGATCAGTTGATCAAAGTAGTTGTAGATATACAAGCTTTAACATCCTTATATATGGCTCAAGACTTTTAGACTAAATATAGTTCAGCCTTTTGTCATGAATGTGTCCACCATGCATAGCATTTGAAGCTGTTTGTCATTGGTTCAGACCTTTCTTTCTGTGTTAGCTGTAGAAACAAATTTGGTGCACACCATGGGCAGAGTTCTAGGTTAGTTTCTTCCAAGAATAATCTAGTTTGCATGCACCAAAATCATTCTTCAAAACCAATGGATGTGTATTAAGTGCTCAGGGGATTCACTTCAAAACTATGGTGCAGCTCCAATCCAAAACATTAAAGCTAGTGTAGTTACTCTGGAATATTCACATAAGACAAGCCATTTGTGAGCATATTAGCTATTTAAGCTGAAAACAAACATTGTAAATTTAGTTTAAAAAATATTTTGCCCATAATGTTCCTAATGTTATAGATTTAATTCTGTTGCTTAACATTTTTCTCCCTTCAAAAATTTCTTGTATTTTATTACATTAAGATGGGAATAGTAATATATATTTTATTATGTAGTATTTTAATACATTGTGAAACAATGAAATGTAATATACGTATAGCATGTTAATAGTGTATTATTAACACGTATTATTATTCCAAACGGAAGCTGTAGAGAAGCTACAGTAGGTCTTTTATCAGGTACTACTACAGGCTGTCTCCTAATCGAAAACGTTTGAGATGGAGGGATGGAAAGGAGGGGTTTGATTTTCTGAGGTTCTCATCCATCAATGAGCCAAAATTCCTTCTCCTGTAATATGGAGTAGCTTTTAATTTTTGATGTAAACTCTAATACTAAGATAAGACGGGCAGAGAGAAGATAGAGACAGTTCTCTGGTATCTCACTGTCTTTCATAATTATGGGAACGTGCTTCGGGGTGCTTTCTCAAATTCTGTTTCATTTTGCTTAAAATCTGTTTTGTTAATGTGCAGGTTTATTTCTGTGACCTGGGAAGGCAGTTGTAGTGGGTTGACTTTGTCTGGTTGCCAGGTGCTCACCTAGCTGCTCTCTCACTCTCCCTTCTCAAGAGGACAGGGAGAAAATAAGACAGAAAAGCTTGTGGATCAAGATAAAGACAGGGAGATCACTCACCAATCGTCATCACAGCGAAACAGACTCAACTTGGGGAACATTAATTTAATTTATTGCCAATTAAAATAAAGTTGAGTGGTGACAAACAAAGACAAAAACTGAAATACCTTTCACCCACCCCTTGCTTCTTCCAAGGCTCACCTTCACTGCTTCATTCTTGTCTCCTCCACCTCCTCCCCTTCCAAGGGGTGCAGGGGAATGGGAAATGGGGGTTGTGGTCAGTCCATAACAACTCCTCTCTGCTGCTCCTTCCTCCCCACACTGTTCCCCTGCTCCATCATGGGTCCTTCCCTGGGGATACAGTCTCCAGTGTGGGTGCTTCCAAGGGCTGCAGGGGAATCTCTGCTCTGGTGCCCGTACCCTTCCCACATCCACAGCACCTCCTCCCCCCACTTCTTCACTGACCTTGGTGTTCACAGGATTATTTCTCACACTTTTTTTTCCCCCCCTCCCTCATTCCTCTTTTCTACAACTGCTGTGCAGCATTTTTTACCCTTTCTTAAACATTTTTCATGAGGCACCACCACCTGGGCCAAGGGGCTCAGCCATTTTAAATGGATTCAAGTACTTTCAAATGTATAAAAATATGGGGGTTTATTTCTTGTTCTAACTTAGAGACCTGGCTGCAAGGAACTGCTTGGTAGGTGAAAGCAACATTTTGAAAATAAGTGATTTTGGAATGTCCCGGCAAGAGGATGATGGCGTGTACTCATCGTCAGGCCTAAAGCAGATTCCTATCAAGTGGACTGCTCCAGAAGCTCTCAACTATGGTAAGGACATACCTGTATCTTCTTGGGGGAAAAAAATAATGTAAAACAGCACAAGGAGCACCAGGACTATGCCATGGGCAGTATTTGAGTTTATATATATTCCTAGTGCCCAGTTCGAATCAATAATGTTTAAAATATTTTTAATATTTCAGTCTTATTTAAGTTATATATAAAATACTAGTTTGCCTTCAAAAAGAATAAGGCAGCAACTTCAAAATTGCTGTTATGCAGCAATAAGATAATGCTTTGGTTATGTTGCTGACTCATTCTAGTAGATTATCTAGTCAGTCATCTAAATTGTAATTGTTAGCAAAATGAATGGCAAGTTCTTCATATTTATGGAAGTGATTCTTCTAGCATCTCTTTGAAAACCACAGAAAGTGTTGACATGCTAGAACATTCTGTTGGATAAATCATTGCATTGGAGAAAAGTATAGGCACTGATTTATATTATTTTTAACTGCAGCTATTCTTTACCTGCATTTTTATATATTGCTAGGCTGTTATCCCAGGAAAAAAAAAAAAACAACATTATTTCTGATTGAGGAAAGTGGTCCATACTACATGGGTAATAGTTCCAGAACAGAAACAGAAGCTGCTGTATTTAGCTTTTTAGCTTATATGAAACTTGAAAAGTAAGTTATTCTGAGTAGAGTGGGCTGTGAAGAAGCAGCATACTGAATGAATGAAGCCATGTTTTGGATGTAGTTCTCTGAAACAGTTCTTTAGTTGAACACTTAGGAAAAAAGTGTTTTAAATTCTTCATTTTAAGTGTCTATAAATATTTCTGCCATCTCTTAAAGCTTATTTTTAAAATCATGCATTGGAAATCTTACGTTTATGATTTATCAAAACACTTCCTCTCATTAGTGTTTTTGCAGGAGTTAATGCCATAACACATAATATATCATACTTATATAAATATTATACTATAATACTACATATACATGTCCACACCATATATACTAATATACTGTATATAATACTATATATACTAATATGTGTTAATATAATATAAAACATAAATAAAGCAGATCTTCCTTTGGAAGGCTAATAATAAATTTAGTTACAGTAATTGATCCTGTATTATCAATTACTCTAAGATGTGTTAGTGTTACTAGTGTTCACTGGGGAACACACTTTTCTATTTTGGATGTTTATTCCACTATAAAAGATGTTTTGAATTTTTATTTTTGTTATTTCAGAAATGTGTACAGTTTATTTGGTATATAATGGAAACCTATCCTTCATAGCTATATGCAGTCCAGTGCACTACATTAAGCAGGAAACAGGCCTTTGTGACAACACCTTCACCTTATTCTTTTGAGACTTTTTCTCTGCATAATACAAGAGAAGACAGTTGATTGACATCTACTTATTTTGTGTTTCCTAAAATACATACATACTCGGGCAGCTTTAAGTGATTTTCTGCAGTGTTTGGGCAATAAGCCCTCTCAAACATTTGGTGATGGTTCAGTAGTCTGATAGGCAACTTCCAAAATATCATAGAAGGCTTCTGTGTGATTTTGAAGGATCATTTTTTTTCACTCCATTGAAAGATGTCACTAAAAATAGTTGGTTCGGTTTTTACCTTTTACCATCCTAATAATATGGTCATAAGTATTGCATTAATTTGGGTAGGTAAGGCTGAAGGTATTTAAGGATATCAAAGTGAAATAGAACTAAATCTGCAATATTTCAAATCTAGTTGACAACCACTGTTCATGTCGCTTCTTAATGGCAGGATTTAAGGGTTGGAAGAAAATGAGGGATAGGGTCATTTGGCCATTACATGAATGACACAGTGCTTAAGAAAACACATAGTTCATTTTTTAGTCACTTCTGAATTCGCTGTATATGACAAACTAATAGAAGTTAAAAAAAAAATAAAATTAAAAAACCACAAGTTATGAAGTCTAGAAAACAGATTAGGGCAAGTGGAGTGGTTAGGGAGTTATGTCTGAAGTCATAAGCAAAATTGTGATGCTACTGGAGCTTGTGGGAGATTGAAGCTTTGGTTAAGCGGGTCCTGTTCAGTGCCATTCCACACCATTACTTTTGCTTGGAGTGATATAATTTCCATCACTTCCAGCAAAAGGAAAAAAGTGTTTTAAAAGCTCCTAATAAAATTACATATTTAGGCCAAGTGTAGGGTATTTTTGCTTCCCATTCTCTCAAAATTAAGATACACATTTAATATGTATGTTTTTCAACATGACATTTGAGTAGTTTGTCACGTTAATAAATTACCACAAGGCAGGGTTTTTTTGTGAATGGACAGGCCTCTTCTTTTTCCCAGATAATGTCGTAGTGGAAAAGATAATTAACCCTGCAGAACTTGTACTTTCTTTAAAAAAAGCTAATCACCTATCTTGTATCTACTGAATGATTTCAGTGAAAAGTGTTAAATTACTGGATGCCAAATTCTGAAGAGAGTTGATACATAGACAAGAAAACTAATCTTACTACAAAGAGCAGAGTGAATCTCCATAATTGCCATCTATGAGGCACACAAGCTCATGTAGCACAGCTGGAAGTGATAGTTGAACAGTAAACTGAACTTTCTGACGTCAGAACAGTTGTCATATCACCAACTGTCACTATAATTCACATGTATTTTCCTTTTTTCTAGTCAGAAGTGGCTTAGTTTCATTTGTTTAACGATTAAAGATGAACAAACAATACATTCACAAGCATACGTATATAAAGACATATATACATATATATACACCTATATAATAGTATGGAACAAAGAAAAACAGTCATGAAAAATGTTGAAAATAATGTTGAAAATGGATTTTTAAGGTAACATTTTCACAGATCCTGCTGCAAAGGGCTAGGGACCTTACCTTTCTGATGTGAATCTATCCTTCATAGCGTGAAACCATCAGGGACTATAGAAATATTTGCTCCAAGATCTCTCCTTCTCCCATAATATAAAGCTTTCATTACACAAAAAGGTTTGGAATTAAATTACCTATCGGTTATGTATTTTGCTATCTCTGAAGCATAGTTGAAGACAATGGAACCAGCAGACCAGATTTTTTTCTTTTTCTTTAACTGATTGGGTACATCAGTTCTTCAGAGTCCAAATTAAACAAGTTGAAGCAACTATACTTTCATTTTCGCAGAACAGTTTCTCAAAGTGTGAAAACCAGGCCCTCTCCGCAGTTACAAACTGGGTTGGTGGTAGCTCCACTCAGAATACTCATTGCCATGCTATATTAGGGAACTGAGAAAGGTAATTTTTTTAAAAGTATCTTTTGAATTGAAAGCGATTATAAACAAGGGGGGGGGAAATGTGATTTTTCTGTACTTTTATATTAAAAGAAAAAATACTTTTGTACATTAAGAAGGCAAGAGATTCTTTACTTCCATGAAAAATAACTGACTTGGTAAGATCTGTCAGTTTGTAGAACTTTTAAGTTAGTTTAGATTATTCCTAGGTATTGACCTTAAGAGAATTTGATTATCATTTGAAATACAGGAGACTACGATACCTGCGGAATGTATTATTAGCAGCTACATCTTTGTTCTGCTTAAAGCCTGTCAAATATAACCGTTTACCTTTACAGAAAATTTGGGGCCATAATTATATGAAACATTAATTTCTCTGTATGTTAAGCTGAGGTTTTCTCTCCTTTTCTTAGGGAGATACACATCTGAGAGTGATGTATGGAGCTTTGGAATCCTTCTGTGGGAGACCTTCAGTTTAGGAGTATGTCCGTACCCTGGAATGACCAACCAACAAGCACGAGAACAAGTCGAGAAAGGTAGTTATTTGTAGGGAGTGAAAGAAATGCTGTATAGGTCCATAAGTATGTAGTGCATACAGTATATAATAGCAAAGATATAACATAGGACTTACCCAGTAACTTTAGCAAAAATATTATGAAATTTTTTAATTGCTGAATCTGACTTTTTGGGAGGAGTAGTGTGATATATAGGCTTCTTGAAAAAAGGAATATACTGACCAGTGGCTTAAAGGACAGAAGACTTACAGCATGCTGACTTTCATTGTTGCAGAGCTAAAAGGTGAGATGGAAAGGAGGGATTTACTGCTGTGCAAAGCAGACGCTTGACCAGAATGAATTATTTAAGATTATGCTAATGCAGGTATAAATATTCTAAACTGCCAGAAGAAAAAATCTGTATCATATTCTCTTCTCTATTAAAACATTTCAGACAAAAATTCAGCAATTATGGTGGAGAGTGGTAAGCTAGTTGAGCGTTGAAAGCCACATTTCTCTTTTACAAAATAATCAAAAGGCTTTTATTTAAAGTAGCAAATAACTGTGAGCAAGATTTCAGGACTTTGATTTATTTTCATCATCTCTAGCGGCATTTCAGAACTGTTCCTTCTCTACCAAGTACTACTGTGCAATTCATAAACAGGTTCTAAGCTAGTAAAACTGCTAAATGTTCAAAAAAAAACCCAACCTAGTTTGCTGATTTATACAGATTGCCAGTGTTTGGTATAAGCACTGTAGATGCCTATCAAAGTTTCTCCTTAAAAGGCCAAATCAAAAAATCCAATGTTTTCCAGAGCAGAGGAGTGTTTGTAAAAACAAGTCTTACTACCCAAGTACTGAGAATCTGTTTTAAACCACTGAGAATAATAATCTCTTGAAATTGATAAAATTCAAAGATTTAGAAGTATGGTTATGCTTTTTCAACTATTTATACTGTGCGGAAAATAGTCCTGTCAGTCCATCCGGCAATTCTTTTTCTTTTTTTTTTTTTAATAGAATTTATGGAATTTTAATTTCTTTCATCAGCCTGTTTTCTTGGTTTTCAGTATATAATAGCTCTCCTGTTAGGATAGTCAGCTAAGACACCCCACATTGTCTTCCCGATCTTATCTATCTCAGTTACTCAATCAGTAAGAGCCTTCAGTATATTTAGTCATTTGAATGCTTGCTTTAAGCCAGGATAATTTAAATTCTAAATAACTATATAGAATCACTTCACTTTAAGGACAAAAGCAGTTGGTGCTGTCACTGTTTTGCAGAACTAGTTTCTAGGGGAAACTTTGTGAAGGAAAGGAATTTAAAATCGTTTCATATTATCTTGTCTGTAAGTGTCCTAGAGCCCAGCCGTTCTCCTTTGAAGTTACATGCATTAATCCAGCACCTAGAGCAGGTGCATGCAATATAACAAAGAAAAAATATTTCTCAGATTTATCTGTTGTATGAGGCCAGTGTCATTTATACTCAGCTTTAGAAGGAGAGATGCAGAGACCTGTGCAGTAGGTCTGGAGTCGTGGAGCTGCATTTAGCTATAGTCCTATGGGCCCACTCACTTTACTGTCCACTGCCTGTCATTTTCCTCAGAGAGCTACATGTGGTAAACAGTTCACAGGATCAGTGTCACAGAATGGCTGAGGGATGCGGGGACCTCTGGAGGCCATCTGGTCCAACCCTCTTGCTCAAGCAGGGCCACCTAAAGTCGGGTGCCCAGGACCACTCCCAGATAGCTTTTCCATATCTCCACCCCTCTGGGCAACCTGTGCCAGTTTTCAGTGTTAAATATTTTACCCTTTCTTTTGTGTACCAGGCTACCGAATGTCAGCACCACAAAAGTGTCCAGAAGAAATATATAAAATAATGCAGAGGTGCTGGGACTACAAACCAGAAAACCGGCCAAAATTCAGTGAGATTCAGAAAGAGCTGTCTTCAATCAAAAAGAAAGTGACATAGTGACAAGCAAGTGCCAAATTCAATGTATGGGACTTTATTTTCCAGTGAAGTAATTTTTTCCCCTCAAACACTATGCGTTTATACAACATTATTTGCAATATTCTTCTAGGATTACTTTGAAATTAACTGGTTTTTTATATACATGTTTACCATCTTGAATGATGTCTACACCTGCATTAAAGACATATACTGCAGAATGCTATATATCCAGTCACAGTAATATTGTCATTTAGGTTATATGTAAATAGAAAAGCACATTAATTAAGGGACTGTGGCTTCTATCTGTTTTACAGCAAGTAACTGCTAGTGACATTTTTCAGAGGTTTTCTACTTCAAGCTACGTTCTCACTCTGCTGTCCCTGCCCCAAATATCAACACCAGCAGCACTCTAATGTGGTGACTGTCGTACATGTTGCCCTTAAAACTGAATAGAGTTTTGACAAGTGTTTCAACTAGAAAATTTTATATGTTTTGAATTATTTCTGCAACTGGTATTTTGTTTTAAGGATGAAGGTCAGTTAGATTCTGGATGCAAATGTGCTTACTGAACAGTGAAATCCAGAATTTTCTTTTGTAGAAAATTTAGTTGCTTGTGCATTTCTTACCATACTGTAGTAAATACTTTTGACTTTTGATGTGATTTACTTAAGCCATGCCTTTTCTTGCTACAAAGCCATCAGAATTAAGTAATATCTCCTTTACAATGACGTATGTTTATTTAAGAAAGAAAAAATCCAGTATCAAGTCTTGACTACACATGTTAAGAAATACTGCAAATCATCTGCATTCCAAAAAGCAGTAGGCCAACAGAAAGAGGTTTACTAATGATAGCAGCAGATAACAAATATCACGGATCTTAGAGGAGGAAAGAATGAGAATTCCTAGATTCACTTTTAATCCTGATTTTTTTTCCCTTAAATTGGTAATAATTCCCAGAATGCAGCTGGAGCCTAGAAAAGTTTATGCTAAACAAAAGTACATCCCATGCATAGCGTCCAAAGGAAAATACTACTTCTGTATGGCATAAGGAAATTGTTCAAGAAACCAAAATAAAGAAGTATGTTTAAAGCCTCTGACAGGCTGAGCAAGGCAGAGTAGAAATACTAACTGTCTAACTTTTTTAAATCATTGCAATCAGATTTCAAAAGACTGGGGACACGCAAGTTTTAAATGCCACCAGGAATAAAAACCTTGTCTATATTTAAAAAAAAAAAAAAAATCCACCAGAAAGAATACTAGCTAGGGGAGGGAGGAAAGGAATAGTTTGTTAGTCTGGCTCTGGTCCTCTTTGCGGCTGGAATTATTTTCTAGAGCCCTACATAGAAATAGGAACAAGTTACATTATGCTGGTCTGAGTTCCAGAGTTAAGGTGCTTAAAATTTTTCTAAGAATTAACTAAAATTTTTCAGATTAAGGGATGCCAGTTGCTGCCAATGCAAGTAAGAAGCAGGAACTGTAAGTAACACAGCATCTGGAATGTTAATTAGCCCTATATTTTATTGTTACAGTGGGATTGAGATGTAGTGAAGTCAGTGGCTACATTACACTTTTATTAAGGTGACTTTTCTATTGTCCACAACGTTTTTGCTCTCTGAAGTGTATTTATAGTAGTAGTGAGTGGTAAAGTTTAAGGGCTATCTGTGACCAAAATATGTGTAGCCTAGAAGAGTTTGTCTGTTGCATTCGAGTTGGCATCCAAATAAAACAATGAATGATCTGCTGGAGCACACCATCTGTATTTGAGCTGGAGCTGTCAGCATCCAAGTATAAGGAATGGTGAGTGCTTCTTGCATTTCTAAACTAATTTTTTTTCTTGGAGCTAAGGAAGCATATACATACCCATAAAGGTATAGTACTTGGAGAACTTGGTGGCATAAATTTAAACTTCCTTATAAGCATACTGGATATATTTACTTAGTTCTGTACTTCCAAGTAGCCCAAAGATATTTTCCAAGAGAAATGGGAAACATTCTTGTTAGCTTGTATGCTTTTAAGTAGTACACAAAGTTTGTGCCTTAATTTGCTAGTATGCTAATGCGAGTGCAAGTGTACTGAGATTTAAGGAGTGTTCCACAATCATTTTGAAAAATCTAAGATTCACCCAATTGCATCACTGTCCTTATATATGCATCACTAAAGTCCGCAAGTAAGGATGACGGTGTCTCCTCTGTCAGCATTCATTGTTTCTCTGGAGAGTTAATCTTTTTCTGCTATGAAAGAGATGAACTCTTTCTTTGCTATATGCCATCTTGATAGCAAAGAAATACTGTTTTATTTTTATAAAATAAAATGCTGCTTTATTTGTCTTAACCAGTCACCATCCTGATTCTCATGGAAAGATAAAAATTGTACTCATATTTTATTCTGAAGTAGTTAACATTTGTAATTCATATCACACTTCTGTTTAAATTTAAAGACTTTTTAAAATGTGATTTCTACAATAGCGAGAAAATTTATTATTAATCCCTGAAGTAGGCATCAGTTCAAAAATGGTAACTCTGGTAAGAATACCAGAATGAGTTTATAGGTATAGAATAAATTTAAACACAGGTACATGTCTCGTCAGCTATTTAAACTGTTTTCTTATGGTTAATTTGATAGTTTGTGGCAGAATTTGTTCATCATGTCTTACTTGTAATTATTGCAGTTATACAATATAGGAAGTGGAATCCATGCCTATAGATACTGTTTTTAAGTTTCTGTAAACTTCTCACAGGGGAGTTCACAAACAAATCTACCATACAGTGATATTTAAAAGAAAGATGTGGTATTCAAGAACCAAAGCTGCCATATGTGCTTTCTGTGGACTTTTGATGACTTAGTCTTGCATTATTCATCAGTTAGCCAGATACTGGTCATCTGGCTCGTATACTGTGTTTATCCTGGAGAACCTACATAAAAGTTGAGACTCGGTCTCGTTTGCAAGTGTAGTTTCAGGTAGGTTCTTACACTGGCAGTGTCGCAACCAGGGGAAGCCTGAGGGAATCCTGATTTTTTTTATGCTGTTAAATGGGAGAAACTCTGAATACTGTTAAGGGTCAAGTAGAAATACATCAGCCTGTTACATGAGATGGACTTCAACAGATTATCTGTTACTTTCATCTTTGTCCAAGGAATTACATTTATCATGTTAAGAAAGATTGTTTGGAGGGCAAAAGTTTTTGTTTGTTTGTTTTCAGTAGAAATTAAGCACACATGTTAGCTTCAGAGTTCAGTCATCAGTGAAATTATGAGGATTCCTAAGCATTTCAATTTTCTGGAAAGTAAAACAGTGAAAAGTGTCTTGTTTGAAAACAAACCTTGCTTCAGCAAAGTGTGACCTTGTAGAGTCAGTGTCCCACCAAGACATTCTCTTTGAATTGTACATTTTCATTAGTTTTGAGTGAAACAATGAAATTTTTTTTTTATTTAGCAACTGCAGTTATGTGCATTTCTTCTTAACAAAAATTTGCCTTTTTTCAGAGTTGCTTAATATTTTTATTGGAAGTTACTACTGGAGCATGCATCACCAAAAGGCTATCAATAAGAACTGCAGTTTGTAAAGTAAGCCTGATCTTACTGATGAGAAACAGAAAATTGTTTAAGAAAATATTAAGTTATTCATACTTAAGTATTTTTTGATCCGTGTCTTTCACTACCTGTTATGCTTACTCAAATCCTACAAGCACATCACTAAAACCATGGTTATCCATGTTATCTCTTAGAACTATTTTGTTATCCCTTTTGCACCCATTGTAAAGATACTAAAGAAAAAATAAAACCACTTTCCTGAGGTCACAGAGTAGCAACTCTCAGAAACAGTCAGAAATGTCTCCCCCTCCCCAGTTTTCCCAGATGTGCTGCTGCATGGATATAAACAATAGTGATTAACTACTACCCCTGTTTCCATTATTCTTGCTGTCATGTCCTTTAAATGACAGTGCCACTGATGCACTTGAAACAGTGAAATATTTGAAGGGATGAGTTAGTGGGTAAATAGCGTCATCAAACGTGGTATTCAAGAGCAGTAGTTCTGAAAATGGCTGGTTGTCACAAGTAACGATAACTCATTGGAAAGATGGAATAAAAAGAAAGAGGCTAATTGAGAGTCCACTTTCTGTAACAGCTGTCCTGTTTGTAGGCAGTAGAAATGTTATGTCAGTGTACTTGGATTTGTAAGATTTTTATGACTGAGCATAAAATAATTTGCTATTAAAAGAAGAGTTCATGAATTTTTTTTTTTTCCTCAAGCACAAAAGAAAATGAGGAGGAAAGAATACCCCTCCTACCAATCAAGATACATATTTTTTTCTTAGAATCATATTCATGCAGTCCTTCACTTTCAGGCATACAGGACTTTAATTAGTAATTAGAAAGTACAGGGCAAGTCCGGTATTCTTGAAGTTCCAACCAACCATGAGTTTTTTAAGAGCAATCTAGTAAATTTGAAACATCAACTCTATTAAAAACATTTTCCTATAGTTTCCTTCTGCAGATTTACTGTAAAAGAATGAGTCATTAAACAATCATCAGTAACAACTTACAAGAAAAATGCATCAACCTCAGAAACCTATCAAGCTTCTTTAAGAGTAACTTCAGTAAAGAATGTTTTTTGTAATCTTGTACTGGAATTACCCGAGGAAAGCTTTCCTTTCTAAAAACCTGGGCATGTGGAGGAAGCTTAAAAAGCTTAAAGCTCCAAGCTGAAGCAGAAGAATCCTTTCACTTAACACTCAGCTTTACTTTCAGACTGAGGAAGGGAAGACTCTCTCACTGAAAAGTACAGCAAGTTCTGCCTGGTAGCTCCCACATTTTCCTTAACTTCCACAATCAATTACTAGTCGTTTCGTTCATTATAACAAGCACCACATAGAACAGCAGCTGGAAGCTAGATATTATCTTTAAATCAGCAGCTAATCCCCCAAAATTTCACAGTTTTGACTCTAGAAGCCAACTTGGTTTTGGTTGTCTGTCAAATAAGCAAAAGCAATTTTTGTATTTCAGCCTCAGTATTGATCACTAAAACAGGAAGGTTTGGCGATATATTTACTGTTGTCTCCAAGGGAATGGTGCCTACACCAATAGCCATTAAGTTACCCTTATATCCCAGTTATATCACTCTGTCTCCTTGACATAAAATTCTAAGTGGAGGATATGTCCCGTTGTAGAACTTGGGTGTTAACTCTGAGTTCTTTCATTTTCAGGAAGTTATATATTATTACCTGTTTTAGAACCCCATTTTCTCAGACATCATCTAGGCAGGACTTAAATTAGAATTTTCAGATGAATTGGGGTTTTTTTTGTGAGATGAAGGACTAATTAGGTTTCTAGCTACATGCATTGTTATTTTGCAACTGTTGCAGATAATAGCTATGAGAGAGAGTAGTTCATTTATAGATCTCAGATTATGTATGCCTTCTCTAAATCAAAACCTGTTAGCCATACGTACAAAAAATGGATGAGTAAAGCCCTCAGATATAGTTGACTGATGTCATAAAGAAAAAACATAGAAGAGTCATGAACTACATTCGTTCTTCCTCTGTTGTCCCAGAATTGAATGCTTTGTAAATAAAGCTTGCAATAGCTGGCTTTGTGTTTATACATAAATATGACCTGTGAACCAGTATGATAGCCTAGGACTCACATTGCTACTAGCGAAGGAGGCTTGGAAAAAAATGTTCCTGAACTGCTAGTATTTGGAACTGTCATCTAGTTTTAGAACTACAAATGTTTATGGATAAGTACATATATAACTTAAGTTTTTTGAGTACGGTAAGAGACAGCGCATGCTTCTCCGTTGAAACCCTTCTTCAATTTAAGGCAATTATGCTTTTTAAAAGAAAAATTAGATTGGTTAGCGATTCCTTCTAGATTACACGTTGAAAGTATGAGCCAGAAATTTCCACCACTAAAAAAAGAAAGATCCACACTACTGTCTTTATATACGGTGAGCTCAGTCTTTCTCTACGTACAAAGAATTCTGTAATTGTTAAATGCAGCAGTAATGCAAAATCCTTTGACTACTGATATGTAAACTACGTCACTCTGATCTTGTGCTTCAATTATTAAAGAATCTTTCTGCTCTTTAAAAAGGGCTGCAGTAAGCTTACTGTTCTAGCTGAGCTCTGCTGTAACAATCTGGCCCAAACATTCTGGTGGCTCCATGTACCACAGATGGTGCCCTTTCACTTACTTCAAAAAAGTTACTCTTGTGACAGATAAGTTCAAATATATCCCTGCTTTTGTTTGACTCAAAAATATTGTAGTGACATTATAGCTTGATAGCTGTGGTAATGTGTTTGTATAAAAACTGAAGTAACTGTAAATCAACATGAAGGACATTGTTCAAATCATGTTTTTAATCAAGTTACAAACCCTAATTATATAATGAATTGTCCATATCGTAAATGCTGTCAGAAAAACAACACTCCTGACAGCCTAGTTTATGATACAGAGCATCCTGCTCAGGAACAATGTAAAGCTAAATATGCTCCTTGAAAAAGGAATGATTTTGCTGTCAGACCAGATCCAAACAATATCTTTAGAATTAACATCAGCGACTTAATTCTAACTAAGACTTGTTGTAAACTTCTTCTTAACAGACCTTTCGAAATAGTGTTAGTTTTCATGATTGTCATCCATTTCCCTTTCAGAAATTTGATGTCTATACATCATATTTACTTACACTGGTAATTATACCCCCACCACCACCACCATGAAGTGCTTAGACTTGCAGCTTCAGAAGCTAAGTATTGATAAGTCAGTAAAAGTCCACAGGGAACTGATCTTTCACTAGGTATCTGAGCTGATATGGCTTAATGCATTTTTGATATCACTAAAGTGATTGTTTAAATGAAAACGTGTTATACAGTTTGAACAGCAGTATTCCTTGCTCAGGATATCTCTGCAAGAGGAATATTTGTATTTGACCTGAAGTCAAGAGGAAGGTAGAACTGTACCTTCCTTCCTCTCTTGTTTGTCAGGAAAGGGAACTGCTGAGTTCAAGCAGCCAATTCAGGTGCTGTCAGCAATTCTGATATGTAGCATGGATGCAGCCGGGAGGCCATAGAGAAGGTCTTGAAGTCGGCATGGCCCCTCTTTGTAATACATCTACACTCACCACAAGTCACTAATGAATCCACTGGAGACTGGAAGTTTGCTATATCACTGAGTGTGGCTAATTCCTTAAATCACCCGAAGTTGTAGTGCTTAAGGAGAAACAGTGACCTTTTTTTTCCTCTGTCAAGAAATGCAGAAATGTGTTATACAATGGGGAGTCTCTGCATTGTTTTCCTTTGCCTTTTCTCCACCTCCTGCTTGGTCATGTCACAGATTCAAAGTCTTCAATAGATGGAACAACTAGAAGAAACATATCTTTTTTCCACTGTTAATTGTATCATTACCTGTAACGGGTAAGTGAGCTTGTTTTTTCCACCAAGCTTCCCACCTAATTTTCTCCAAAATGCCAAAAACACGCAATAGGAAAAAACTGATGACATAGACTCATCACACAGGACACAAAAAAGACAGGCAGACTCCTACAAAGAAATTTTGAGGACTGAAAGCCAGTAATAAACACCTCTCTCGTCCCTTCTGTTAAAATGTCTAGGTATATGTATGTTCAAATGACTTTGAGAGATGAAACTTGGTCTGAGACTGGTAGGACCGGTGTTTCTTCAGTTGCATGTGTTACTTTTCCTTTCTATAATTGTAGGCATCTGAAAACAGAGGAGGGGTCTTGGGGAAGGAGGGAAGGTTCATTCACCAACCTCTAGCACACGCAAGGCTTTTGACACCAGTAACCTTCAGTGGGGCGCAGATACCATTTGCAAACATGTTTAGATTTATATTCAATTTTGTGCCAAATTACGCACCAGCAAGCTTAACATCAGGTAAAGCACCTTTTATACTCTTTGTTGTTTAAAAATAATATATTTCTGAAACAGATCAATAACACATAACACTGGAAATGGGTGCTTCCTCCCAAAAGTACACATGAAAAAAAAAAAAAAGGAAAACAACATTTGTGAGTTTATCTGGCTTTTAAGCAAGTCTGAAAATGATAACTATGTAGTACAGTTGCCACTTGTCTGTCCTTTATAATTTTAAATAGATCTGCATTTTAACTTTATTTATTTGCCAATTTTTTATATACTTTAAAGTTACACTTTTGAACTCAAGTTATCTTTTTATTTTCCTAGGCTGTTACAAAACAGAATTTCAGTATTCTTGTAAACTGCAGGCCATTTTTGAATAGTCCTTTGTCTTTTTCTATGGACCAGTTACCACTAATGAGTCTATAGTCCCCTTTTTACTGTACTCTTCCAATAAATGTAAAATATTTGTATCAACCTGTCTCATTTTATTTCATATTTAGAGGTGGTGTTTACTCACTAGCTTCTGTAATCAACTGGAAGGTAAACTCTAGTAACATTGCTCTTGGGAACAGCTACAATTCAAAATACTCTATTTCACAAAGAAGAAAAATTTATTTGAATTTTTTCTGGCAGTTTCTTGAGTTAATATCTGTGTGATCCTCACTCACAGGTTGGCTGTCACTTTTGTTTACCTTTTGTATATCAGAAGGTCTTGAAAGAAGGAGTAACCTAGCAGAAGGGAAAGGACAAGTTGAAACAGGCTGAGAAATTCAGGGCTGGAGCTCTGCAGTTTTGAGGATGTTGCACAACACGTTTCTCTTCAAGCCAGAACTGTGTTAAGAAGCTAGGCACTGAGAAGCAACCATACGTATTCTGCACACCAAAAGCAAAGCAAAATCTACAGGCGTTTCCAGTTAAGAGCAATGCAGCAGTCTAAAGGCATATCCAAGCTTTATACTGCTTATTTTACATGATCTAGTGCTCTGTTCCCTTTGTATTAAAAAAAATAATCATATTACTCACATTCTAAATGCAAGTTGCATTTTAAAGCAGATTATTTAAAGCTACTTTACTCTTTACTTTGAATGAAACCGATCTCCGTAATAATTGCCATTTTCACCACACTTTGATGCAGTTTCCTTGATTTCCATAATCCCTTCTTGATATAAAGACTGCGATACCAAAATTGCAACTGAGGTAAAAAAAAAAAATTACTATGCCTTAAAAAAATTTTAACAAATCTTTTGAGACCTCATGGCTAATGTAAAGTATGAATACCCCATTGAAAGAACTTCTTCCACTGCTTTATGCTTCCTGCTGCACTTTGTTAAAACACCCAACAACGAGTAG